TCTCTCTCTCTGTTTCTCGGTGTTTCTCCATGCGTTCATGTCGCTGTCGTAAATGCAGTAGATGTGAAGCCAGTCAAAAAGAAAAAGGGAACAATACCACCCACCCGCCCATCAACCCAATTATCGTACTGTTTGCTTGCTGCTCATGCCCGTGAATCCTATAAAAAGCGCGGCGGAGCTGGGTAATCTGTTAATCTATACAAAGACACATGTCCGTCGAATCCATCCAGACGGAACATTGTGTGTGTCGGTCAAGTTCGCAGATTCGCTCAATACGCTCGCGACTGTTGATCACGGAACCTCCGCTCTTCTTCCTGGCGGCGGGCCTTCTTCTCCCGCTCTAGACGGATCTTGTGCGCTTCCGTTCCGTCGTCCATGAGGGACTCTTTGAACCAAGGGTGTTGCAGTGCTTCCTTGGCTGTTATCCGTTTCTTGGGGTCGTAGACGAATATTCGCCGGAGGAGGTCGAGGAATTGACGGTTGAAATCGGTGTGGGCTGGTATTGTTTCCTGGGAAAAGTTAGTCGACTACCAAACGAACAGTGTGACGTGTGACTACGTACGGGAAGCTTCTTCATCGCCTTGACGTATTTCTTCGAGGCTTTGTTGGTGTCTGCGTTGGGGTAGTCGAGTTTGTAATTCTTGAAGTATCGAGCAGCACTAGACATGTCAGCAACGTCATGGATATAGCTCCGTGTCTACTTACGAGCTCGAAGAGTTGCGTGATGAACCGCGGTCTTGCTTGTAGACCGCTCGCACAATGTCTCGATCGATCTTGCCACTGCAAACAGCTTCCATCATCGCCAGATGCTCGAGGTTGTCATGCGTTTGAAAAAGGGCATCGCCAGTGAAGAATTCGACCAGGATACATCCTATACTCCAGATATCGCAAGGGAAACTCCAGCCCAGGTTGAGGATAATCTCAGGTGCTCTGTAGTGGCGGGTCGAGACAACCGAGGAGTGGTATTCGTCGTTGAACGTCGCTGATCCGAAGTCGATGAGGCGGATCTCGGGGTCAAGGAGGACCTTGCGATGCCGCGCTGTCCGGTTCACTGTTGTTGACGATGACGGTACAGTCCTATTGTACGTAAAAGTCTGATAATTGTTGTTGACAAGCAGGATGTTCTCCGGTTTCAGATCGGTGTGGATGAGGTTGAGGTCGTGGAGGAAGGCAACGCTGGTGAAGAGCTGTTTCGCGAACTTCTGGATATGAGAGCTGGGGAATGGGACAAAGCCGTTCGACTTGAGGAAGTCAAACACACTTTGTCCATAGAGATCGGTGACGATGCAGATGTGGTTCCGGAAGTCGAAGCAATCTCGTAGGTGAATGCACCGGTTGATGTTGTGCTTGTCGTTGGATGCCAGTGTTGACAGTACCCGCAGTTCGATACGGCTGGCATCTCGGTATTTGGGCACTGATCGAATGACCTTGATGGCGCAATTTGTGCCTTTCCGTCTGTCGTAGGCTTGGACGACTTTGCCAAAGGTGCCCTGGCCGAGCAGTTTTGTGATCTGGTCTGATGTCCTTTGTCAGTATCGTTCTTCGGGGTATCGATCGTAGAGACCTACATCTCTCTGTGAGGTCGGCCTCTGGTACTACAATGTAGTGGCCGTCGTCGTCATCTACCTTTTGGTCTTTCGTATATGACTTCTGGGGCACGTTAGTTCGAGTCCCAAGAGAGGATGCGCGGGTCTTACATCTGGGACAACCTGTACGTAGACGTCCTTCGCCTTGATTACCGGGTTGGGCGGCGGCTGGTACAGGCTGAAGGGGTCGTCATTGTCCAGCTCCCGTCTTTTGGCCTGCTTTGCTTCATCCTGCACCACAGCGCGTGTGCGCTTGCGCTTCTGGCCCGCTGCGCTGTTGTCGAGAGGCGAGATGTGGTGGCCGTTGCTGACCTGCGAGCCTAATGACGTCGGCGCCGTGGTGTTGAGCGCAGAGGTAGTGCGGTCGGTGGACAGTGAGTGGTTGGGAGAGTCGTAGTAGGGTGTTTGGGTGGTGGAGTAGGACGTGTGCTGGTTGTAGACGGGGTCGTATGCCGTGGATGCGGTCGTCTTGCGCTTCTTGTCTGTGTGGCGCGCGGTCGGGTTTGTCGCCGTGCGTGACGAGGGCGCGTGGTTGCGAGGCGGAGGCAGCTGGGGTTCATCGTCGTCGTCGTCGTCAATAACAATGACCTCCTTCGGGATGCCGTTCCTGTAGAAGTCGGCCCAGTCGGGGTGCCGCCGCCGGTGGGCGGAGCCCGGGTCGTTCGCGCTCATGTCGATGGGCGGGGCCTGGGAGATGGGCGGCAGCTGGGGCGGGTGTCGTGTGTGGGCAGTCGCGTTCCGGCGAAGGTCTGAACTGGAGGAAGCGCTAGCGTAGCCGTTGTAGAGCGAGTTGCCTATCCGAGCGCCGCCGTTGGCGATCTGGGCATTGGCGATGCTGGGCTGGTACGTCTGGTGGTGAGAATAAAACTGGTGATGGGGCGGGAGTGTGGCCGTGGCGGTCGAGGGCGTCGACATGGCTGGGTGCGTCGCTGGGGGTGGTCGAGCCGACGTCGTGACGCTACTCGTCTGCACAGGCAAGCGGACCAAGCACGTCGGTGAGGCGGCCAAACGGCGCGACGGGGGCGCCGAATTGGGGGAGCGTCGTCGTCGGGATGCTCAGTCGGCGCTTTTGCGTGCTGGGACGCTTTGTCGCAGCCAGCAGAGGCGTTATCGCAGGCCTGGGCAGTGGATGGTGCTGCTGCGGAGGTGCTGGAGCCGCGGCTGGAGGCAGTGCCGGGGCGGGCTACGAGGCGACTGAGGGCGATGGGGGTGCACGCTGGGAAGAATGGCGGGCGTCGGACATGCCAGAGAGGTGGTGAAGCGTTGATGTCGCCGGGTGGAAGCAGGCGAGGTTGAGATCACACTTGTTGCGGAGTCTGTGGTGAGAACCGGCCTGTGCGGTCCACATGGAGCGTCATTCGTTCAATCTTCTCGCGGCACGCCAGCGACGTCTCTCTTTCGCGTCTCGCGCCGAACTCTGCCTTGTCCCAATTCTGCGGCCCAAGACTCGACACTGCTCTACGGCACTCTATTTGATGGCAATAATCCCGCAGCGCTTGTCTTCTGCTGTTGCTAGATGTCCGCACCCAGATCATGTGCCTGCAGCGCGTTTGGCGACAGCCCGCCTGGTGAAAGAGAAAAGCCGCCCGAAGCCCATTAATATGTCTTCGGTCGCTTGCAAAAGAGGGTGGCACGCCGTCTCCACTCGACCTGTCTGGATTCCCTCGAACTCAAACATTACCAATATCAAACATTCATCATTAATTCACGATTACATTCATCGTCTTCACACGTACATTCCACCATATGCATCGCTCCTTCCCTCCCGCCCTCGACACTGCCCAGGTGCTGAACCGCGCCCAGACCACCACCCTCCGTCGCAGACATCTGACTGAAACCGCTGCACAAGACTTGCACCCAACAATCAAAGGACCTCCGTAATACTAATCCCTACACCGCGTGCGGCTCTAGCACCCATTCCCCATCAAACAAAGCCCTTGTGTGACCGCTCTGCAAAGTGAAGCAACACGCCCATGGTCACGAGAAAGACCAAGACAATGATCTGCGATGCTGCCCGGGCACGCACCTACAAATGTCATCTGGTTACTGTGGTAGTAGTCGTCGAGCCTCTACCAGCCTACGTGACGAGCGCCCCGAGAGACATGATGGCATGGCAACAACCCCGATCCCGTTTCTCGACACTTTTGTTGTGATCAAAGTTCGAGGTGTTCAGGGTCCATCCTGATTTGGCTATTTCCGCGATGCCGCTTTCTAGATGCACATTCCCGGTTCTTCGCGAACCTTAGAGGCGAGGCTTGAAGGATACATACAAGGCGCGGTCCCTGCCGCACGTGGAACTGCACTTGCTTCTGTTCACGGGTTGCTTCTTTATCATGACGCAATATTCCTCCTATTCTACTCCCACCTATCTCACCTATTCCACCCTGACGCCCACGTCCGAAACGCTGATGTGAGCCTTCTCTCACCCGCGGTTGGTACCGCCTGCCTATCCACTGGCTTGGCTGATGGAAGGTTCGATGCACGCTGCACTCCGCTTCGAAGGATAACGTCATGGCCCCCCAACGTTTTCCCCACTCCTACACTACAATTTGTAGTCCAAGACGAATGACTGGAGTGAATAGCGATGCACTGCCTCTGGCTATGTCACTGCGGATGAATAATGCACTGGTTCTGGACGATTGTTGCCGCTTGCGCCGTCCTGGTGATTTAACCGCCAAGGCGGAGTCGTGACACGATGGGTGGCCTGTGCGCGGCTCGGATGTATGGCAGCGGACTTTCAACGCTTGTCTGGCGGACATGTGGGTAGAGAATGTGTTTTGCGAAAATGCACTTTGCTTTACTTTTATATCGTTGTTGATAAAGAAGAATGTGTTGTTGTTGCTATGTGTTGTATGGGTCTGGCACTGAAACGAGATATATCCCGAACGCAGTACAACATCTTCGAAAGTCTCTATGTTCCGTCATAAAGGGATTTATATTCTGCGTGGCATGTCCAATACGCATTACACATGTTGTCATGATATAAACAAGTGTTCAACTCCTGTCCTATACTATCTAGCTCGTGTCAAATAAAGACCACGATCAAAACATGAACGTAAACATATATCTGGACCATAATAGGTCAAGGAAAGTAAGAACAAAACCATGCGCTTCTAACATGAAAATGCCCTTTTGGTCTATAGCCTAATAGCCGTTTCCAGTGCAATGAATGATTCAGACAGCAGCCCCAATGCAGTTTTGCACATGAAATTGACAGAGTCGCGAAAGAATGCCAGTTTCAAAAAGCCGATCCCGGAAAAGACTTTATGGAGCCGCCGCGCATATGCTGAGCACAAAAGCCTTCCGTGCAATGAAAAGAAAGAAATCAAGGAAAATCGTTATCGTTCGTTGCCGAGAAAGTACGGTCGGATAGCGGTCTTCGCACAACGGGTCAAGACAGTGCGACGTCGATGTTTACAACTTGGGCGTGATGCTGAGCTCCTCAAAGAAATCGACAATCGTCTTAGTGATGCGCTCCACGATGAAGTCGACGTCGTCATCGGTGACGTTGTATGCAGGGGCGATGATGATGTGGTCGCCGCGAATGCCGTCAACCGTTCCGGAACCTGGGTACACATATACATTGTATCCATCCTTCAGCCCTGCAGAAATGGTTAGTGATGAAACAATCATCCGAAACAGATGAACTTACCAAGCTCATGTACCCTCCAGGTTACTGCGACTTCTGGATCAAAAGCTGCCTTGGTGAGCTTGTCTTGCACAAACTCAATCTGTCGTTGTTAGTAGTTGCACTACGACTACCAGGTGGTGTTCAGACTTACCCCTATGAAGAGACCCTTTCCTCGGATGTCGAACACGTTGGGATGATCGCCCAAACGAGCTTGTAGCTTCTGCATGAGCTTCTCCCCTTTGTCGCGAACATTTTCCAGAAGATTATCCTGTTGAACAATCTCTTGAACTGCGAGACCAGCAGCGCAAGCAGTCGGGAAGTTCTGGAACGTATGGCCATGGGCAAAGGCGTTGTCTCCCATCGCATCCACAATGGTTGGTCCGACCAGCATCGCGGAAAGGGCTGCATAGCCGCCTGCGATACCCTTGCCTACCAATTGGATATCTGGAACGACGTCCTCTTCTTGCCATGCATGCATATAGCCGGTGCGACCCATGCCGCACATGACCTCATCCAGAATCAAAAGTACGCCGTATTTCTTGCATACTCGCTTCATCGCTCTAAGGTAGCCGGGTAGTGCGGGGACGCAACCAAGTGCCTGTAGCCATGTGTTAGTCACCAACGAACGAAGAAACAGAGTCAAACCAACATACCGCGCCAACGACCGGCTCCATCACGAAGCCTGCTACTGTATCAGGACCGAGATCAAGGATCTTACGCTCCAACTCATCTGCGAGTCGCTCGACATATTGAGCTACTGATTCTCCCTTCTTCATATCGCGGCTAGGATTACAAGGAGATACGAACTGCGTCTTCTCAGGCAAAATCGGTAAGTAAATCTCTTTGCGGCCTTTGTGTCCACTGGTTTCGAGAGCACCAAGAGTCGCTCCGTGGTAAGAACGATCGCGAGCAATGAACCAGCTGCGTTGAGGTTGCGGATTCGGCTTCAGCTTGGAGTGATATTGGTAGGCTAGCTTTTGTGATGCTTCATTAGCTTCAGAACCTGATATCTGTCAGCTTGGTTTCGGGCGTGAAGTTTGGATTATCTTACCAGACCCATAGAATACCACTTCTTTCAGCTTGTCATCGGTTGATTCAAGAAGAAAGTCTGCGAAATCTTCCACTACTTCGGTGTGAAAACTCATCGATGCGGCATACCCAACTCCAGACTCTTGTTGCCTCCTTACTGCCTCAAACACTCTTTCATCCCTATGACCAATGTTTGATACAGCGGCACCTCCAGATGCGTCAAAGATCTTCCAGGCCTTCTCTCCATCTACCACCGACAGCCAGTTGCCCGAAGCGCTTTCCAGAAACAACGGAGGACCTCTTGCACTGCGTTTGAGTAAAGGACTACCAAGATGATCGCGACCTCGGCGGGCTCGACGGCTGCGAGAAGTGACGAGCGCAGGAGCTGAATCCATCGATCCAAGTGAGACGCTGCTCTGAGATGCGGGACTAGAACTGCCGCTATCGACAATCAACAAAGCTGGTGCCATTGTTGCTAGATGGATTTTGGTAACAGTAAGTAATAGTCAGAGTTGTGTGGAGGAAGGGGAAGGATTGATATAGGAAACGGTGTGTGCAGTGTTGAATGTATTCGCACAATGCCTTGAGAGACTGGAAACGCAGGTGAATGATGGGTGACTTTATAGTCGATTGATAGTAGCGTGAGCTAACCACGATGCGTATGGTAACCCGACCGGTGAGGCGTCCTCTTGGAGTGGAGCGTTTGTGGTGTAATCAGGCTCAGGGTCACTAGAACCACACTTTGATTCTCGGCAGATCATCTTCAGCCCTGAATTCGGGCCGTTCGGGGAACTAAAATCGTGGAGACCAGTGCAAGAAACAACGCCGGCTGAGAACTGGCTCCCAGCTGGATAGTTATGTACGTAGGATGCGGTGAAAGGATTCCAGGCTTATTCATTCTTGTGGAGTGTTAACGGTCAATCGCTTACTTTGGTAGCCAATCAGCGCAGACTGTGGCTGTTTTACCGGATTTTGCTTGCTATCGAGATGATAAAAGGACGGTCAGCCGGACGTGATAGGAAGACGCATCGTGTAAGACCAGGGGCCAATGTCGCCTCGATGTCAGGGCAAAAACCAGAAATACCCCTAGATAGTCATCCTTGCATATGCTGCGCGGCGTAAAATGATCCAGGAGACGGGGACGGTTGTTAGCTGGGCCAACGCGAGTCGTGCGTGCATAGCCCGTCCTTGTCGGTTGCTAAATCGCATCTCACCTTGGAAGGCTGGCACACGTATGCAATGCAGGACTGACAACGCCTCGTTTTAGCGGCTCACGAACGGCTGCGACGCATGCATCATTGCCACATGGTAGAAGTGGAGTATAGAAATACGCCGGGGTTTGGGATCGACGAGGCCACTGCGGCCGCATGCAATCCAATGCCAGGAAGATCGGATCGGGTTTTAGCCGTCCATGTTGTGTAACCGAACCTAGTGTATAGAATCCAAGAGCTCATTTTTAGTTAGTGACGGCATTGAACACGAAGGGAGGATCGCGAATTCTGTCAGAAGCAAGAAGACATGGTACCGCAGGCGTAGTATCGCGAACACCGGCGTATTATACGGGCCAGAAGCCTTGAAGGTCGGTATGTTGGTACTCCTTCGATTGCGTAGACATGGCCTGACGTGGTTTCCTGTGATGTCTAGACTGATCTTTTGTCCTGCCTGGCTCGATATGTGAACTACAGTATTGTAGACCAGGACACAAGGATGTGCTGGAGGTAACGACTCAACTCACACGCTGATGCCTACTGCAGGTGATGGCTTGGCCAACCACATCCATGCGACCCAGCCGCGTTTCATCGTACTGGCTCGATGCGAGGAATGGTATGTCGACGCTTCAATGGCCGGGCACACGCGGTCCAGCTGCCACAATCGATTGACTGCAGATGTTGGCACTAGTGCGGAGGTATGCAATGAGGTAGACAGTAAACGTAGACGCCAAGTCAGGTGCCACGATAGCGATATGGGAGGTACTTTCCCGACGGAGCGGGCTTGACGTGGTGGCGCGGGGTGATTACGGTCAGACCCCTGCGAATAGCGGCAGGCCGTTCGCTGGGTCCCAAGACGTCACCTGACGAGTCTGGAGGCCGCAAGTTGCGGTGAAAGAGAGAGTTAGCTCAGTGTTCGGAGGTGGTGCTAGAGCGCTGAAGTTGTCCGTCGGGACGAGAGCAGTTGCCCGGGCCGTGATGCGGAGCTGGAAGAAAAGCGCCGAAGCGCCGACCCGAGTCGGAAGCGCCTGCCTCTTCCATAGCCAAGCCCCGCGTTTAGCTTCCCCCACATCCTTCCAGACGTGCAGGTGGCCTTCACGACATTGCGATAATTCTATCGTACCGGAGAAGGCGAGGTAAGTGACGGCCCGAGGAACACTGGCATTGCACGCAATCTGACGCCCACATAGGACCGACCGGAAGGCACGATGAATCCACGCGTCGAAGAAGTCAGCGACTCGGACAGCGACCCGTCAGAGATGGGCATCGACGATGTACCCGCTCTGATGAACGCGAATAATATACCCAGCACGGGCAACAAGTCCATGCCGACACCAGCGCAGATGCAGGCGCTCCAATCGCAGATGCTGCAGCCGCAATCGCCCTCGATGACGACATCTACGGACCGAGAAAAGTCCAAGCACTACCAGTGTTTATACCCCATATACTTTGACAGGTTACGGACAAGGGCTGAAGGGCGTCGCGTGGGCAAGGAGCTTGCGGTGGAGAACCCTCTAGCACGGGAGATGGCCGACGCTGCTGCCGACCTGGGCCTCCGGACTGTCTTTGAGCCTGACAAGACTCACCCCAAAGACTGGGCCAATCCTGGCAGAGTGCGCGTCCTTCTCAAGCACGAAGGAAAATTGATGGACGACGATGTGAAGAACAAGCATCATCTCTACATCCTCATCGCACAGGCCCTGAAAGCCAACCCGACACAGAAGAACACACCTTTCAGATTACCCATCGCGGGCCTACCTATGCCCAAGGAGATGCCGGAGCCAGCGATACCAAAGGGCTGGAAGATGAGCAAGATCCTCCCTCTACATTCACCTGCTCTAACGGGCGGTGGTGTCAGTGAGAACTTCCTACAGGATATGATGGGGGAGATGATGGGCGGCGAGGCAGGCAGCGGCGCAAGCAGCGGGACAGAATCGAAGAAAAAGATCAAGGACAAAAAGAAGAAGTAAACCAGCATCCCGGACCATCGCCATCGATGCGTCAGCGCTTACTTCGCCTAAATTAAACGCCAATAGTCCGGCAAATGTCACACAACCTGCGCCGCAGCCATGCATGGTGGAGGCTGTCGTCACATCCTACATGTCACTCCACCGCGCGCTTAGATACCATCCCGACATGAGCGACCAACGTCTCTTGTCGTGGAACCAGCGAATCAACACCATCTACAATCATACAGCAATGCCTCTTCGCTCAGTCCTAGTCGCCTTTGCGTGGCACTAACGCCTGCATTGCTTACATCTCCTGCGCTGCTCTTACATACATCATTCGTCTAGAATTTCTTTTTCGGCCTTCTGTCGACACGCGACTTGATCTGATTCGACATTTCATCAATATGCACACCGCTGCTTCAAAAGCTGTGTGCATTCTGCACATGGAAACCTCCTTGCAGCACTATGTAGCACTAGCTGCTGCATGTCCGCTATCGAATACTCCGACCGGCATGCGAAGTCCCGATTTCCACGCCACTTGACAACAATTTTCCGCGTGATACCCTGCGTCTGATTATCTATTCTTACATAGCATGGCCACCTCACTGTACTTCCTGGTTGCGCATACGGATGTTCAAATACTACAGGATACTTGGTATACTTCTGCGTCGTGTATGCATGCGGTTCAGTTCACGTGAGTGGCCCGCTACCCAGAACCGAGCCCCATTAGCTCACCGTTCAAGCTTTCAGCCTCGAAATCAGTGACAGCCCCGCGGGCCGAGCAACGTCTCTCGGAGGACAGTTGGCCTGCATCTACCCTTGCACCCACACCACTTGTCTCTCACCGGTAACGCGCCTCATTCGTCCATTTCCGTCATCCTCTGGCCTTACATTCTTAGTCTGATCGCTACTCCACTTCGCGTTCCTCGCATGGGACGTCAGACTTGGAATTGTTGGGCCATGGGGGTATGTTGGTCTCCATGTAGCGAGTGGTCGTGTTTACCGAGCCTCAGCCATGCAACCACTATGTCGGGCCACACACAATGTATGCGAATGCGACACAAGATTTCGCAAGGCATCCAACTAACCTGCAGCTAATGAATATGTGCTCGTCGACCTCAGTGGTGCTGTCGTATACACGGCTGAACTTTCCCGATCAGAAGCTCGCCACAATCCGTACGATGTTACGTATGAACCACCAGATGCGCTTGACAGTGCGAAGTCCATACTGATTGAAGCCTGCCCGGACACCACCATCTATGACAAATCTCAGCTACATGACAAGATCAGTCTGACAGTGCTTGTAGGTGGTGTTCTGCCCATACCCTGCCAAGCACGATGGGATGCCATCATGCAATCGCCCGCTGGAAGAGCCCTGCATTCTAACCCGCTCGTTTAGCCTCTAAAAAACGGTCATACGTTGAAGTCGCATGTTGACCAATTCATCTCACAAGCCAGTGATTGGAGCACCACCAGGTGTAATCGCCCAGCTGTTGGGTACACGGCATCACGATCACTATCCAATCTAGACAACGGAAAGAATGTCAGCGTGACACAGCATGAACACCATGCGAACAGCCTCTCCAATGGCCAAATACCAAAACAGGCACGTGAGTGGTCCGGGAAAAATAGCCGTAGCCAGTACACATCAGCACACATGCCAACATCGGTGTAAATGGGAACATTGAACTACCCGTTTATAGTCGCCACCCAAATGTTAGAGCCAATCATGGCCGACCAGGTTTAAAACATTTATCCATACCCACTGAGGAAGGTACGCAACCATCGGCCCGCCTGGGAAAAGCGAATGTGCCGTCCGCGTCTGAGGGAATGCTTCCGGGCTAAGCGATGTCGTCCAGCTGCCGTTCTCCGAGCAGCTTGCGCGGATCGCCGGGTTACCTTCACACTAGCTTGTATACACCCATCGCCAATATGTCATTGCTGGATGTATATCGACGGCAAGTGACGGGAACGCAGCTACATTGGTACCTACGCTTCATGAGCCTGCGAGAGTGTCTGATTCGCTTCTTTCAATTTGTGTCTAGTTGTAACTCATATCTTATCACAACGACAATTCATTCTTACTGACACTAGACAGTGACGGAATTCGTGCTGAACATCACAAGTCCCCTAGAAAGTATTTCCAGGTTGAACTATGCATTGTGCTCAAAGCTACTCACCTGCTGAGGTTTAGTGGTGTGCATGCAACAAAGTGCGCTACAGAATCTATGTTACGCTACGCCTACCAGACTCGTCATCTGGCAAGCTGAGCGAACCGCGACCTGGCTTCACGATCACGAGAGCCGGGATGATGGCACGGCGGCTGGTAATGGCCATCGGATATACGCAGGCCGAAGATGGCTTCCGTGCTATATTAGGCAGTCTTCTAAGGAAGAGTGACGGTCGAGGCCTGAAAGCCTACGACGATAAGCTGAGCTTGAAGATCAAGAAGATCACCGTTCTTAAGCAGGAGTGACGGGACTTTGAACAGTCGGGTAAAGTCTACATTACCTTGAAGCAACACACGCAACTCTTATAGCTTCGGGGAGGGCACTTCGGTCATTGGCATGCTTCAACGGGTTTTGCATATATGCTTTGCTACACTGCAACTTTCGCTAAAGATATTCATATCAGCGACACGAGAACATACGACAACTAGGTAGAGATGGTGCAGACACTATGCGAAGCGTTAGCCCTTAAAAACCGACTTTAGGGAAGTAAGCATGGACTTCGACTAAAAAGCATCAGAGCGCTTGTTGCATAAAGCATCGGCCCACGATACTCAGATCGCCTTTTAGTGCCATGAGGTCCGCAATCCGTCCGGGTGACATAGACATGGACGTCATCTGCGAAGATTTAATTCGCGTAGCTTACGAAAGATCGTCCTTCCCGGGAACACTGCCAGCCTAAACATCGCTACCGGAGCCATGAAATCCCGGAACCGACATGAAGATGAAGGTCGGTTGGTAAGAGTCAAAGCGTATGGCGCACCAAACACCGCACGGTACTCCCTCATGCATGTATTGCCGACTGTCAGAATACTGCTCGGTACCCATCCATAGCTGCTCTCAGCTTCCATTCGAACCCAGATGTTCCACTTCAGCTGATCCACCAACCTCTTCGCCTCAACCCTACTTATCGCACCTTGAATCCAATGCCCGATTTCCCCCGCCTCAACATACACTTCATTGCGATAAACCGCCCTCACAAAGTCTTGTTCGTCCTTGCGGTAGTATCTGGGGAGTAAGGACTATTGATTCCATATTGATGGAGACGTTGGTTTCGAGGTATCCGTACTCCAGTAAGACTCCGCACATGTAAGAGTTAATATGTTCAGGTAGAAATTGAGAGGAGGACCAGTAGCAATGAGCCACATGCACTACTCTTGACTCACGGTGTGCGCACCCCTATCATGGTACTGCATTGCGGTGATGAGCCATTCACAGCTGCAACCTTCTAAACGACGACGAAATGAGAGAAGTTCTTCGACGAGCTGGGGACAAGATATAAGTTCGCAGTCGAAGCCCAGTTCTACATCTGACTCATGGCTCAGATGGAGAGCAATACCTAAGTGCTGTGGTCTTTCTCGCAATGAAGATGAAGTACGCTTTTGACACAGGATAGGGCCTGGTCTTACTTAAGTCTCTTTATTGAGACCGTACTTTCTTCGATGTTGTTCGCCGGTGAAGTCGGTCCTGCCTGCGGCCGCGGTGCTGGGTCCACTCTCCTCGATCTTTGACCCACTTCTTGCAAAGACCAATTCCAGTCCAGACCTACCTCGTGGGGATCTTCCATGGTGGATAGAAGCAAACATACCTACATTACCTGCGAACACCCGGTTCGGCTGTGGGTATCTGACATGATTCGGGCCTAATACAGAGGCAGTAAGGCTTAGCTCACGTTCACCTCGACAACCTTCTGATGACGAATGCCAATAGTGCAAGCTAAATCCCGGGCCTATAGAACACAACAGTCGAAACAGTCGCACGCGGCTAAGGACGGAAGCGCATGAATTGTTGAGGTGTCACGGTCTAAGCCACATGGCGGCGGCATCTGGGGTTGTGTTCCTGGGACGCCTGAGCAAACAAGGACAGGGGTGCGGGGTTACCATAACAACGCCCGAAGAAACAACACCACTGCATGCGCCTCCGCCGCATCACTGCTGGGGAAAGTAACCATTACACCCTTTTTGAACACATCCATATCGCATTGTTGCCCATTGCAATCACTTCTCGAGTGTCACGAATAGCGACGACATTTTTCTATACCCAATCTGAATTTTCGCGACGCATACACATAATGGACGGGTCCACACCACACAGTGGTTCACACTATGGACGGCCACCTGCATATGACTATGATGACGGATCCCCTCAGCAACTACAGGGAGGATCAACCATGCGTTTATTGACAAACGTGGACGAGGACCAAAGTTACGAACAGAGCTACATGCCGTGAGTATTTGTCTCACTCTTTTCCCCCATCCACTTGCGTCCCGCATACGGACCCAATCTCATTCCCCACCAGAAGATCGTCTTTCGAGGACACTTCAAACATGTCGAATGCCAACAGCGACACGGCTGAACTGGGCGAGCGCATGACCATGTCTGAGGTTGGCAAGCAAAAGGCTGCCGAGGCGGACATTCACGACTTCCTGCGCGAAGCGGGCGATGCGCTGAGTTCGACGTCGAGCGCGGCAGCAATGCCTACGCAGATGCCGCGACGGAAGACGATCAAGTCGCAGTTCGACACGACGCCCTACAAGACCGTACGGTTACAAGACCCAGACTTACCATTACTTTCTTCCCGCAGACCTCCATCGCCAGTATCGCGATCATACCACCCCACAAATTCCTCAGTATCCGGCTTATCACGGACGCCGTCAGTGATGGACACCGCGCCAAACATGCCGCCGCCGGGAGAAGACCCATACGTACCATACCGACGGCCGCTGTCGCCCGACCGACCATATTCACCCACGCGCACATCAGCCGACTACTCGCGGCCGCCAGCGTCAGTCAACTCATACGAGCCAGTGGATCTCCATGGTAGCCCACGGCCAGGCAGCCCTCAGCGGCCACTACCACCCCAACCCTTGTTCACCGGCCGCAGACCAAACTCCCGCGGCTCCGAGGGCACCATGGACATGACTGATATGACTTCGATACCCATTCACGACGATGACGACCCCTTCACCGACATTGGCGACGACCGACCCGACCTGCGATCGCGCGACTCGTACATGACCGACGACACATACACAGACATCTACACCGAGATAGATGAGAAGGCAGAGCACTACGGGCCGGCTCCCGATGGCGCACAAGAGCGACGTGGAGCGCGCGACGCTGTAATGACAAAGAAGGAGGTCCGATTGATCAACGGTGAACTCATTCTAGAGTGCAAGATCCCGACCATCCTCCACAGTTTCCTTCCACGACGAGATGACATCGAGTTCACGCACATGCGATACACAGCCGTGACATGCGACCCAGACGACTACTGTGATCGTGGATACAAACTGCGCCAGAATATCGGCAACCCGCGCGAAACCGAACTTTTCATCGCCATCACCATGTACAACGAGAACGAGATCGACTTTACCCGAACCATGCACGGTGTCATGCAAAACATCAGTCACTTCTGCTCCCGCATGAAGTCAAGAACCTGGGGAAAGGACGGATGGCAGAAGATCGTCGTATGCATCATTGCGGATGGTCGCGGAAAGGTTCACCCGAGAACACTCGACGCGATCGCTGCCATGGGATGCTTCCAGGAAGGTATCGCAAAGAACCACGTCAACCAGAAAGAGGTCACTGCCCACGTCTACGAATACACAACCCAAGTCTCGCTGGACTCAGACCTCAAGTTCAAGGGTGCTGAGAAGGGCATTGTGCCCTGCCAGATGATCTTCTGCTTGAAGGAGAAGAACTCAAAGAAGCTGAACTCACATCGTTGGTTCTTCAACGCCTTCGGCCGCGCACTCAACCCGAACGTCTGCATTCTACTCGACGTAGGAACCAAGCCTGGACCCAAAGCTCTGTACCATCTATGGAAGGCCTTCGACACCGACTCCTCCGTCGCAGGAGCTGCTGGAGAAATCAAGGCTGGCAAAGGCAAAGCGTGGCTTGGTCTACTCAACCCACTTGTCGCATCGCAGAACTTCGAATACAAGATGTCGAATATCCTCGACAAGCCATTGGAATCGGTGTTTGGCTACATTACGGTCTTGCCTGGTGCGCTGTCGGCATACAGATATCACGCGTTGCAAAACGACCACACAGGCCACGGTCCTCTCAGCCAGTACTTCAAGGGAGAAACGCTCCATGGTCAAGATGCAGATGTGTTCACTGCAAACATGTACTTGGCCGAAGATCGTATTCTGTGTTGGGAGCTTGTAGCGAAGCGCAGCGAGCAATGGGTTTTGAAATACGTCAAAGCGGCGACTGGTGAGACAGATGTGCCAGGTAAGAACGAATCATCGCATTGCTCTCAAAGGCCATCACTAACACACCTCAGATACTGTACCTGAGTTCATCTCTCAACGTCGTCGTTGGCTGAACGGAGCTTTCTTTGCGGCTGTCTACTCACTGCTTCATTTCAAGCAAGTGTGGGCAACCGACCATACCATCGGTCGCAAGATCCTGCTCCACATCGAATTCGTCTACCAGTTCGTGCAGCTATTGTTCACGTTTTTCTCCCTGGCCAACTTCTACCTGACCTTCTACTTCGTCGCCGGCTCACTGTCAGACCCGGAACTCGATCCTTTCGGCCACAACATCGGAAAATACATCTTCTACATCCTCCGCTACACATGCACGCTGCTCATCTGCATGCAATTCATCTTGTCTATGGGTAACCGACCCCAAGGTGCCAAGAAGATGTTCTTCTGGAGTATGGTCATGTACGGTGTCATTATGGCCTACACTACCTTCGCCTCCTTCTACATTGTCATTGTCCAACTCAAGGATCCGAAGGCGGAAAAGACGATCGGTGCCAACGTTTTCACCAACCTCATCATCTCGACTGCGACAACGATTGGTCTCTACTTCCTCATGTCCTTCATGTACCTGGATCCATGGCACATGTTCACGTCGAGTGCGCAGTACTTCGCTCTCCTACCATCATACATCGCCACACTTCAGGTTTACGCCTTCTGCAACACCCACGACATCACTTGGGGAACCAAGGGAGACAACGTCGCGAAGACCGATCTGGGTGACGCCAAAGGAAAGAAGAAGGATATTGTCGAACTCGAAATGCCATCAGAGCAGCTGGACATCGACAGCGGCTACGACGAGGCGCTTCGCAACCTCCGTGACCGTGTCGAAGTTGTCGAGCCCCCGATCTCTGAGTCGCAGCAACAGGAAGACTACTATCGTGCCGTGCGTACCTACATGGTAGTCATCTGGCTCATCTCCAACGCTGTCCTCGCCATGACTGTCAGCGAAGCCTACTCGGACCGCAAGGTCACAAACAACTTCTACTTGACCTTCATTCTCTGGGCTGTCGCAGGTCTTGCCTTCTTCCGTGCCATTGGCTCAACAACTTTCCTCATCATCAACTCTATCCAAGCCATCATGGAGACGAAGCTCAAATGGGAGGACAAGATCGATGACAAGAAGAGCAATAGAACTGGTCTTGGAGGCGGCCGCAAGTACGGAAGGAACAAGTGGTGGAAGTTTGGCTTTGGCGGTGGCGGCGTATCGTCGAGTTGGTTCTCAGGCAGCACAATCTCGAGTAAGCTTAGTAGCATGACTCCCAGTAGCTGGGGTGGAAGCAGTGTCGGAAGATAGGTATACCCAGGGTAAGGAAGGGGCGGTAATGTGGTTTGTACTACGACTTCACGATGGACTGATCTTTGGCGTTCTGGATACATACTTTGGGATGATACCTGAGCTGGGCTGTTGAGCTCACTCCAGTGTAGTAAATAGCTTCTTGTGAATAATAACGATTCTCTCATATCGGCTTTGATCAGAAATAATGTTACCTTGGTGAAGATGTTGCCGCCTGTTCTGGGGTGACGCGCTGGGTCAGGAAGGCACGCTAGGGTCGTGTGTTTACATCCATCCCACTCCCGCTCCCATCCCGCCGCGCACGCAACCGGCGCAACACTCCCCACTTGCCTACCCAACGTACCGACGAGACCGAAATGGCGCCCAGAAGTAAAACCGCGAACATTTCCTTCACAGTCGACTCGGCCTCGGAAGACGAAATGACGGTCGACGAGCTCAATGCGCTTCCCACGCCCGAATCCACCAGCGACAAACCCGCGCGAAAAACGCGTGGTACTGCTGCGCAAACGAAGAAGACGGCTGCTGCGACCAAGGCGACTGCTAAGGGCAAGCCGGCGACGCGTCGGACGAGCGGTACAACCGCGGTGGCTATGAAGAAGAGCGCGGCGGCTGGCGCAAAGAAGGTAGCGGCGAAGGGCGGTCGCAAGGCACAGGCGGAAGTCGAGGAGGCCAATGCGAGCGACACGGAGGAGGTAGAAGACTTTGAAGAGCCGGAGCCGGTTGCGCAGGCCAAACCAGCTAAGAGAGGCAGGCCAGCGAAGAAGGCGCAGGAAGAAGAGGTCGAAGAGCCAGCACCAGCGCCAGCAAAGAGAGGGCGCAAGGCAGCTGCGAAAGAACCCGCTGAGAAGAAGGAGACAAAAGCGAAGCCTGCGACAAAGTCAAGAGGAACGAAACGCGCGACCGAGCCAGAAACCGAGCCTGAGCCGATGACAATCCCCGAGACACAACAAGAGCCAGATGTAGACACAATGGACATCGAAGACTCGATTGAAATGGGAGAGGAGATACCTGAAAGCATGCCTCCACCACAATCACAACCCTCCGCACGGCGAGCGCAAGCTCAACCGAACAGCAGAGCGCGCCGAACATCAGCCTCACGGAAAAGAACAGGAAGCGTATCAGACTCTGAACGCGATCCAGTGATGCGACGGAAAGTCGGTGACCTCACCCGGAAGCTCGATGCTATGACTGCCAAGTACGAAGCGCTCAAGGAGTCTGCGTCAACAGGCAAGGAATCGAACTTTGAGCAGCTTAAGAAGCGGACAGAGCAGATTGCCAAAGGTATGACTTTCTACATCTACATGTTATGAGGAAGCTTGTTGCTAACGCGAAAGACAGACCAAGACGCCGTAATCAAATCCCTAAAAACGCAACTCACCGACCTCCAATCCCGTACCTCGACGCTCACAACCCTGAAGAAAGACCTCGCAGCCTCTACAAAGGAAACCAGTCGTCTCGCAGCAGAAAACAAGAAACTCGCCGATGCCCTCGCGACGGCGCAGAATGAGAGCAAGACATTGTCTAGCAAACTCGCGGCTGCCCGTTCCTCCTCACAACAGCCCGAGACAAAGAACGTACCTGGCAGCGCGGTGAAGCAAAGGACAACAGGAGTGGTGTTACCGGGTACAGCGGAAGCAGCCAAGGAAGCGACGCTCGCGAAGCAAAAAGTGGATTTGTATAGCGATTTGACGAATTTGGTTGTCCTGGGTGTGAAGAGGAGTGAGGATGAGGAGGATGTGTTTGATTGTTTGCAGACGGGGAGGAATGGGAGTAAGTCTTTTCCACCATCCACATCCCTCTACCATCCCTTTCCCATTACCACTGCCCTTACCATTCCCCGTCCAGTATACTGACGTTCCCATAGCTCTACATTTCCACCTCACAGTCGCGACATCGGGCTCCTCCTACGAAGAAACAGAGTTCATCTACCAGCCGCTGCTTAATGAGCAAAGAGACAGGGAACTATTGGACTTGTTGCCGGATTATCTCACCGAGGAGATTTGTTTCCCCAGGGCGCAGGCGGCGAAGTTTTATTGCAAAGTTGTTGATAGTATGAGTAAGAAGATTGTGCTTGAAGAGGATGGGGAGTAAGATGGGATGGATGTGCGTGGGAAAGAGGAATAAAAGGATGAATGAGAGGGGGATGAGAAGGGCGGAGGGAGGCAAAGAGGGGCAGGTGGAATGCGTTCTCCTTGTCATGTCATGGATTGGTGACGAGGGCTTTATACCAGGTTGATTACATCTTTCTGCTTGTTTGTTAAGATCGCAAATACCCAGTCAAGTTCACGTTTATCAATTCCTCTCAAATCGACAATAGCAGTGCTCCGTAAAGATAGTGGATAGAGTCGTTCCAATGCTTGCTTGTTTGTTGGTACAATCGGCGCATGTATCTACACTGTCCCGTATCCTCGAGGCACACGCGCGTTTATCCGACGATTTCATCTGATTCCGCTACGCATGTTCTCGTCTATCGTCCACTATATTCAATCCCCTCGATCCGAACGGTATGTTGGGGGTTGTATCGTGTTTATTGCTTTCCTTGGACCTTGTCGGCGGCCTTCTTGACGTACTCCCTGTTGTATGTGTTAGCCCTAGTCCTCACATCTATTATCGATTCCAGCAACAGCCTCCCTGCTCCGTCGCAAGAGCTCGTGCCGCAACGACTGCATGGATGTGCGTAGGTTTGTGGATATGTAGTGTGTACGCACTTGACAAAGTTCTCCTCATCAGGGCTCTTCGCGTTGATCGGGGGAGTGGTAGGGTCCTCAGCCTTCTTGCCGCCCATGGAGAGCGCAGCACCGGTGAAGGTTATGCCGAGGGTGGCCATCGCGAGCTGCAGAAGAGTAATGGTTAGCTTCCATCCTTGAAGATATGTCCATTCCATCTTTCCAAGCCCCAAAAATTGCCGTCATAATGACGCCCGGATAGTGCGCCGTCTGGCTCTACCCAGCGCTTCCAATTCCTTCCCAGTCCAAAGTTTTTCTGTTCCTCCGCAAGGTGTGAAGGTGAAAACATACGACGTGCGATCCGACCTGACGGCCCATAATAGTGTACATAGCAACCATCTTTGCGGTATTCGAGGGTTTTCCGTGCCGTAAGCGGGGTGATGCGTCGTCAATGGATGGAGGGTGGAGGTAAGAGAGTCGTGGGGTGGGTGCAAGCGTTGCCGGGTGCTTGCGCGGAGCTCTCTTCGGAAGAGAAGATGGGGCTTGGCGCCGAAGTGTGGCGGTGGGGGTGTGGCTGGTGCACTGGGAAAGAAAACGGAAGGAACTGGCAGGGATCAGGTGGGTGGCTGGTGGGTTACGAAGCGATTTAGTGGGTGTGACGTCTGTATGCGGCTACCGAGGTGGTGTGAGTGAGCTTGTTGGGGCCTGTGAGGTAGGCAGTAGTGGTACCGAAGAAGCATGGGGTGGTAAGCTTATACTACCAGCGCTTGCTCGATTACCTGTTCTTGATCTCTTTCTCTCCGCTTCTCTCTTATGTAGACAACGTGCGCGAAGCTGGTCATTAGAAAAAGGAATTGAGCAACACCGCAACCATGGCGAAAGACAGCAACAAGAAGATCGAAGAGATCGATGGTGTGCCTATAGAGCGACAAGGCGCGCGACCAGACTTCTCGATTCCACCGCCGAGGAAACAGTTACCGAAGGAGCTTCAGGATACACTCAACGATGAGGAGAAGTTGTGGGAAGTGCTTTATGATGGCGAGTATGTATACATCCTCAATCCCATCCTTACGATTGCCAGCAATGCGCCTGCTTCCCCCTCTCTCTACAACATGGATAGCTAACATAATGACAGAGGCGAAGACACAACAGACACCTCCCTCCGCTACGCCGCCTACGCCTCGCGCATCCGCACCATCATGCTCTCCGCCCACCGCTACGTAGCCTACACCTCCGACATAGGCGAATCCTTCCGCCCCATCGCACATCCCTACCTCGTGAAAGGCGCCTACGGTATCTCCTGGCTCTACCTCATGGGTGACGTCTCGCACGAAGGCTACAAAGCGTACGTTCGCAACCAGCGCATACTGCACCCGGAAAAGTACATGGACGATGCCGCGGAGAAGACTTTGGAGAACGTCACGAGTAAAGATAGAGATATGGCGGCGACGGGCGGGAAGAGTAACGCAGCGGGGATCTTCGATAAGGTGCAGGAGGCTGCGAAGCAGGCGACGAGCACGGAAGGGGTCAAGTATGGGGATGCGGGGAGTGCGTTGACGGGTGGGCAAGTTGTTGGTGGGAGGATACCGGCGATTGAGGATTACAGGGCTGTTATGGCGCAGAGAGCTGTGTTCCAGGCTGTTGCGTCAATGGGTCTGCCGGCTTTTACTATTCACAGTATAGTCAGGTACTCGGGGCGTGCGCTGAAGGATGCGAAGAATAAGACGTTGAGGACGTGGGGTCCTATTGGGGTAAGTGATTACGTCGAAGCAGATTGGAAGGAGAGTAAGATGCTAACGATACGATAGCTTGGTCTCGCGGGTGTACCTTTCCTGCCTTACATCTTCGACGAGCCGGTGGAGCATGCGACGGAGTGGCTGTTTTATAAAGCGTTCAAGACGTTTGGTGGTGAGAAGGCGGTTGAGGGAAGGCCGGCGACGGGTGTTAAGGAGTTGAGGAAGGAGGAGACGGAGGCCAATAAGCTAAAGAAGGAGCTGTAGAGAGTTCGGGAGGTAGATACACGGCGCGCGTAGATATCACGACTTACGTTACCCACTCAGTATGAATGTATATACGAAATTCTTCTCTTCGAGACGCTTTTAAGAAGACCAAATGTGATTCGATTCATATAGACGGGTATCTTTGCAATGGACCAAGATCATTCTTTCAAGAGATTCATTGCGCTGATGCTCAAGCCTTTCCTCTCTTCCCTCCCTTCTCGCAAGCCTCTGTAAATACCCTCAACAACTCGGGAAAATCGCACACGTTCATCGACTCAAACGCAGGATTCTTGTCCACCTTCAGAGCAGTCATGCGCGGGCTCTTGATCCCAAAGGCGAACTTAGCGAGAAACCTAGGGTCATCGCGCACGCTGACTGCCTTCAATACTTGTTGGATCTTAGCTGGGTCAGGAGGTTGAGGCGGCTCATCAGGTAGTACGGCCTGCGTATGAGTCTCGCACCACGTGCAATGCCCGCATTCCTCTGCTATGTCAGTGCTCTCTCCGAAGTAGTCTGCGAGTGACCTAGACAGGCAGCGTTTGTCGGTGATGAGGTTGATTAGGGCTTTGGTGCGAGCGAGATTCTGTGTTTCGGTCTTCTCCATGGTTTCGTCCAGCTGCGCGACGATCTTGTCGATCTCTTCGGGTGTAGATGGTAAAGGACGTTCGAGGCGGTAGATGTTCTGCACTCCTTCTTTCTTCAGCTCAATCGCGCCACGCTCGTTCCATTCGTCCATTTTGCGTACTAGATCTGCTCGAGGTATATTGGATGAGTTCGCTAGGTCGTCCAAGGCGACGTGTGTCCATTTACTACTCTGGACGGATGCTCTGACGATAGCGGAAGCTGCGGATGACCCATCATTCTTTACGAGATTCGGGTTCTTCGTGATGTACGAATACTTCGCGTACATAGCTCCAGCAGAACGGAAGAGTCCAAAGTTCAACTCCATTTGGGCGTACAGGATACTAAGAACGATGGCTTTGATGTCGGTTGCCTGCCCTTGTGTATATAATGAGAGCTGGAAAGTATCACCTGCTTTGAGCTTCGAGCGAGCAGGAGAACATATGTCCTGCATCAAGAGCTTCAATGAGCGGAGCGAAGGCCGATCGCCGTAGGTGAAGATGTTGCGGAGATAGAAGTCTTTCGTCGAAAGGTAGAACATGCACGTACTCGGCTTTCCGTCTCGTCCAGCTCTGCCAATTTGTTGACTGTAAGACTCGATGCTGTCAGGTATGTCGAAATGAACGATGCTACGAATGTCTGGTTTGTCGATCCCCATACCGAATGCGATTGTTGCGATAACGATCATGTCGGTGCTAGCCAGAAACTCGTCTTGCGTCTTCGTGCGCAATGGCGCAGGCATTCCGGCGTGATAAAATTTGGCGTTGAAGCCACGCTTCTTCAATTCTGCGGCCAGCATCTCCGTGCCCTTTTGAATCGTCACATATACGATGGTAGGACCTGGGTACTTTTTGACGTGAGCAGCAAGTTTCGACACGTAATCGGCGTCCTTTCCGTTCGCCTCGGCAAGAAGACGTAGATTCGGACGGTACATGGTCGTCCTGAACAGGCCCTCTCTCGATATGGAGAAAGCATCCCGGATGTCTTCGGCAACTTTCGGTGTGGCTGTAGCTGTCAAACACACGACTCTCTCAACTTGTGCTTCTTTTGCGAAGCGAGCAATCTTGAGGTAATCGGGACGGAATGAGTGGCCCCACTCTGAGATACAATGCGCTTCATCCACGGCTAGCAGACGGATACCTCCGGGAATGTCTTTGAGCGACGCAATAAAACCTTCGCTGTTGAGACGTTCTGGTGCGCAGTAGATCAGATCTAAATGCCCTTTCTTGAGATCGTCTTGTGTAGCCAGGAACTGGTCGCGAGAGATGGACGAGTTCAGTACGGCAGCCTTTATACCGCGGCGCAAGAGGGCGTCGACCTGATCCTTCATCAAAGCAATGAGTGGCGCGATGACTAGAGTGACGCCACTCTGTTCACGAGTCCGGCGACCAAGCTCTTCGTCTTGATATCTGAACGCTACAGCAGGCACCTTGTGAAGTTAGATGAGTAGTTCATTTGATGAAAATAGGACTTGCCTGGTAGCAAAGACTCTTGCCACCTCCTGTGGGAAACACAACGACTGCACTACCTCCATCAAGGAGGCGGGTAATAGCTCTTTCCTGTTCGAGCCGAAAGCCATTCAGCCCGAAGCGTCCTTTCAGGATGTTGTTTGCGAGGATTCTGCTAGCCGATGGCGCATCGGTGGTGTTCTCCTCATGTCGACTCCGTTTGGTTGAAGACTCAATGTCTGCGCTGTCGTTGGCGATCTTACGCTTTCCATCAAGCGCAATGTTTGTGCTAGCAGCGAACTGCTCTTCGTCACCCGAAGACCAGCCAAACTCATCGTCGCTCATGTCAGCGTATC